AAAAAAGAATGAGCAATGTGAAATACCAACCCAATAAGCTACTATAAAGACTTTAATTAGACTTTGGGAAAAAATAACCCGATTAACCGTTGTGATTTCGTTAAGACTTAAACTTTAAGTTTAAGGACTTGAATGACCAAAATAGGGACTTGAATTTTAAGTCTTAATCACTTCAATTTTGCCGATTTAGTTTTCTAGGAACTCTTACATGGTGAGATAGACTTGTTACACTATAGAAAGAATCGTTTATCGTTGTTTGAATTCTTAAGATCTCTTGGATATGCATTCGCGTTAGGTATTTCAAGAGTTTGTATGTTTGTTGTGCGAGGTTTGTTTGGTTAAACTCAGGTTCTTGTGGTGGATTTCAATCATTCTGGTATTCATGCCTTGTTTGGTAAGATCTTTTGTCTCCCTTTTCAACCTCTTCTTACATAAGAACATCGTAAATCAATCTGTTTTCAATTCTGATGATGCCTGCAAGAGAAGATTTAAATTAATTCTGATGGAGATCACCACTGAAATAAGAACAATGTGGTGGGCTATAGCCTATAAATTAGTGTCGATTAGTCCATATAAAACCAACATTATTTGGATTGGACCATGGTTGGGTAAAAGCCCATCAGAGTTCTAATCAAATACTACTGAAGTACTGAATCATTTTTGTCCACTTTCTTTAACAACTAACGATGATGTATAAATGTGGACCAAACAAAGAAATGTAATATTGTTTGGGTAATGGGTATTTCTAGATACAATATTTCTGCAAATCAAATATGTGAAACTCCCAAAGGTTATTTTATTTTTATCAATACTATTTCAGTATTCCTCAAGTAGTGTCAGTAAATGATACAAACGACAGAAAATTCCCCAAAAAATGATTTGATGTTGGTGTTTGTTGGTTTCTTCTTGTTCAAGGACCACCACTATTCACAGAAATTTAGCATTTCAATGAACTGATAATAAACCTAATGCTCGATCGATAGTGGAACAGTGAAAAAGTATCGTGCAGTAGAGATGGTCACGTGCTGTGTCTGAAAAATCACGTGCCTCTTACACAGTACTGACTTCTGTTCCTTTTTTTCCTTCCAAACTCGGCATAACGTCAAGGATATGGACACCACGTCACCTTATCCATATCACAAAAAGAGATCCATTTTCTCTCTCTTTCGTTGGTCAGATCAGTCAAGCAGATCTTAGCCGTTCCTTTTCATGACTATTTTTAACTTATATGTATCTCTACCGTCAATCTTCTTCTAAAGTGTACTCCATTTTGCACTAGAACGGATTCTCAATTTATTTTTTTCTTTAACCTTATTCATGGTTGACACGTGTCACCTACCAGCATCTAATTTTTTTTTCCTTAAGAAATGTTTTGCTAATCAAAAATCAAAATTTTAATCGTAAAATTTGAACACATCGTGATCATTTTGTGCCCCCAAGTTGCATAAGGCAATATTATTATAAAATGAACCAAAAAAAAATCAAAACCTAAATCATCTCCAGGTTTTTTGTGTTCTTACCTCGTTTTAACCGATAAATTTTGTGAAAAACCATACCTGGCATTTTGTTACAAATAGAAATTCATGAACCGACCCGGAAAACACAAGCCGGTTTAAATCCATACCGGCGTCTCAATTTCGTTGATTTACAAACAGAAAACCGGAACCCTAAGTCTCGCTCGATAACAGTATAAACTGTACAAGGTCTCATTTCCGTGCTCTCTCTTCCGATTACTCTCTCAATCTCTTTCTGGTTTTTTTTCCATCGGTCTCGTATTGGTAACTTATTGGATATCTCCGGCGAAGAATACGGTGTTTTCACGGTGAGATTTTCTTTGCCGCCGCTTAACGGCGAGGATGATCGAAAGATCGATTAATCGGTTCTGTTTTCGATCCGTTCAGAGATGTTGTTAGATCCTCATGGTTTTGGTGATCGTTTTGGATCGAAGACGTGGTTTCACAGGCGCAAAAAATGCCGTCTTCTCTTGGTTTGATACTTTCCTTCTGAATCTTTCTTCTCGACGAATCTAGTTTCTTTTTTTGTAGAAATTTTGGGTCTTTTTCTAACCCTGGGGATTTGTTTACAGTCTCCGTTTGTAAATAGAAATTGCTACTTTTGTTTTTTTTTTTCTCGAGATTAGGAAAAGTTTGTAC